TCTTTACCCCTATGGAGATGACAAAAGTACTCTTTGTCTTGTAATATTTACAAAATTGCCCTACAAAAGTAACTTTTTTTAAAAAATAGACTACAAAATTAATAAATTGACCCTTCACAACTCTCTCTATCTTAAACCTTTGTAATTTGAAGGGTTGTGAAGTTTAGATTATCCCTATATATATTATTGTTTAAAAAAAGGCCCGCCCAGCACCTAGGCGGCCATAGGCCGCCTCACCTAGGCTTGGGCGAGCCTTCCTGAGCAGAAGTTCCTGGGCGCCTGCCCGGTCGGGCTGGTGGGTGCCCACGAACTGATATAAAAATGGCAGTATTTTTTTGGGGGGCCTTTTTATGCTATTTTGAGCTGTGAAAGGGGATATTCTACCTCAAAGTAAAGAAAACTCAACTAGAAACACCCAAAATTGCTGGATTTTGTGATTTTTTGGAACCAAGAAAATTTTGAGCAATTTGTACTAGCCATTCAAAACCGTACCATATCTTATTACAATCAATTCTAGGGTCCAAATGAGGTTCTTACAAGACTTTTGGGGTAATTCTAAGCTTGTTAGACAACTGAAAAGTTGAGGATAAAACATCCAAAACATTGAATAGTTAAAGATCTCTTTCCTTTGATTTGTATGGCATCTTTTGTACAACATCATTTTGTATTGGTCATTTGTTCTCATTGGAGACTTGGAGTCTATGAGTCTGACTGTATGAAGTATGGACTACAGAATATGGTGCATGGACACTAAATTACTAATACACTATGTACCTTTTTTTCCCCTTGTTATTTTAGTTATTCAAAGAAGCAATTATCAGTGATCTGAATGTGTCAACATTCAAGCACATATATTTGTATAAAAAAGTTAGTTAGAATATTGTATGAATATATACAAATCTAACACATATAGGGGCATATGCGTGTGTTTAGATAGCACATATATGCATGTATGTGTATATGTCAAACATCTGGGCACCTGAGATTTTGGCGGCTGTCTAGGTGCTGGGCGCCCTGAAGCCCCCTAGGTGCCTAGGGACCACCGACATTTTTTTGAACCTATATATATATATATATATATATATATATATATATCACGCATGTAGTAAGTACTAGTAAGTTAGGTAGTAAGTCTCGTGGTGTAGTGTAGTAGTAGTGTAGTGTAGTAGTACTTCCTTTTACCTTT